CATGGCGAGTTTTATCTTTAGCTAGTCATAGAGATTGCTATTATTAACTAAAGCATGGCGAGTTTTATCTTTAGCTAGTCATAGAGATTGCTGTTATTAACTAAAGCATAGGGGTCGTCACTTTATAGCAATAGTCAATAAATGGCTCAAATGTAACAAAAAAGTATTTATTTGTATCTACGTCAAAAATATCTGAAATAGATTTCTGTTGTTTGCCATGCTTTAACTACAAATGTAAGTTCATAAGTGTGACCAAAGAAAAAGGGGGATTTATTGAATTTTTGAAGTCAATTTAAACTTTTTATATTTATAAGTCTTTAATTTATACCCGTTTTGAGCTAACCTGGTTTTCTACTTGGAGCCACCTGTTTTTATCTATTTAAGTTACAACAGCGTACAAGTGAAGGCTGCTTGTAGAAACGTCAAGGAAGAAATAAACACATTTGTTCTCGTTCAGTGAGACAAGTAATTTCAAAGAACTCGTTAATAAAATAATGACGTTATGACAATATAATGTTTTAGCTTCTGTATCACATAACACGTAATCATTGGCTTATACAAGTTTTAAATCTCTCGGGAACCACCAGGAGGAGATTACATTGCAGACAGCGCTTGTGTTAAGTGACTTTGTATGTATGTCTGCAGGTTCTTGCCTGATTTTGTGGCAAAGGAAATATTCTGACATGACATTGACATCAAAATAACTGTATTTTATAAACAACTAGCTACCAGGTTACCATTAAAATAACTATATTTTATAAAGAACTAGCTACCAGGTTACCATCAAAATGACTATATTTTATAAACAACTAGCTACCAGGTTACCATCAAAATAACTGTATTTTATAAACAACTAGCTACCAGGTTACCATTAACATAACTATATTTTATAAACAACTAGCTACCAGGTTACCATTATACACACAGAGAGCATTTAACCTTACGAACTAAGTTATATATTTAATTATGTGCTAACACGTGATTCCATTGTCTACTACACTATCTGTTCTTTCCATCTTCAAACTTGTCACCACCAATGGCAAAGGAAAATAGGTTTTTTACATTTTATTTCCTATACAGGCTGAGAATTTGTCATCATTTGTTAAGATAATTGCTGGGCACGTGCTCGTCCAGGCCCACCCTTGGCTACACATTGCTCTGAAACTACGTGACTACTCAAGCTAGAAAACTTAATTTTACAAGCTTTCACTGGTATAAGCTATTAGAAAACACAAGGACAAAGTTAGATAAAGGCATCCTAGAAACAGTTGACTGAAGGACAAAGTCAGATAAAGGCATCCCAGAAACAGTTGACTGAAGGACAAAGTCAGATAAAGGCATCCCAGAAACAGTTGACTGAAGGACAAAGTCAGATAAAGGCATCCCAGAAACAGTTGACTGAAGGACAAAGTCAGATAAAGGCATCCTAGAAACAGTTGACTGGAGGACAAAGTCAGGTAAAGGCAAGCTATTACAAAACAGAAGGACTAAGTCAGATAAAGGCATCCTAGAAAAATTTTTCTTCAAGTCTTCTCATAACCTAGAAAAATAGGATATCATTATAGAATTACACTAGAGCAAATTGTAATGATACATATTTTTTTTCCTTTTTGAACAAGTTCTAGTAATATTGTTTTCCATTACCAATAGGATCCAGTCAGCTGTTTCTAGAATGCCTTTACCCGACTTTGTCCTTCTGTTTTCTAATAGCTTGCCTTTACTTGACTTTGTCCTCCAGTCAACTATTTCTAGGATGCCTTTACCTGACACGATTTATCGTTTTATCTGAAATAATTGCATATATCACCTGTTTATTATCCAGTTTAGGCTTACCTAATTTGTTTAATTGAAGACTGTTCGAACTTTTGGTCTACCGTGGAAATTGCTCCACTGTAACCTCCTTTCAAAGAAAGAAACTTGAGATAAGAAGCCTTGGCTTGAGCAGAAACTTCTCGATCAGTCTTTTGGTAGAAATAGCTACGGTCTGTGCTGATGTGAACATTTATTATGCCACCAAAGTTGGCATTCTGGAAATAATGTGTTCCAAAAAAGTTTACAAACCTATTGTAAGATTCACGATTTGCTTCGTAGCTTTCTGGAAGCCAGTTGTTGATGAACTGTTGAGCAAAACGATTCAACCTAAGTGCCCAGGAAGGTAAAAGATCTGCTCTGAAAGCGGAATCGTAAGCAGACACTTCTTCTAAATATTGGGAAGTGTTCATAATAGTGTGTTGGGACTCTTTGTAAGACTTGCTGGCAGAGAAAGCTCCCTTAAGAATGCTAATGTTGATTCCGGTACTTGAAGCCTTTTGACGTTTTACTTCGTTATAGCTTTTCATGATCTTGACTTCTTCTATTAGCCATCCACCTGGGACGTTACTGACATCCCAAATCTGATCTGGCAAATCGTGCTAGAAAAAAAAAGTAGGTATTACGTGTTTATACAAAACTCTTAAAGATTTGTCAAAATAATCTTTGTTCTACTCGTAGAATTGAATAATTTTTAACACTTTCCCTGCCAGAATTTTTTTTTTTTTAAGAAACGAATAAAATCGCTTGTCTGAAAGCAAAAATGAAAAATTACAAAATAACCAGCGAGTATTGAAATGAGACTTTGGGTTCAGAGTGATCCAGATCCGGACCAAATTTGGGAATTTTTGTCACGCAATCTGCATCTGTTACCCATACGTTTGCACCTGCATTCAACGTTCGATCATCTTGTTCACTACGTATACAGGTATTAGAATAGTAAATGGGAACGAATTTTTTTCATATTTGCAACAATAAATTTTCTATTGAACTTCATTGAACTACGACTAAATTTTTAAAAATTAAAATAGTCCTTGTAGTACCTTTCATTGCTTTGTTTAACTTTTTAGCGAGAGGAGGCGATTAAAAATTCTCTATTCAAAAGAGACTCTTTTATATAATAGACTGAACCACAGTTCAATGAAGTAAGTTCAACAGTCATTTCATTTTGTGATTATCAGTTATGTCAGTTTGTCTTCAGAAAAACTGAAATACACTCATGATAAACAACATTGTTTATTGACAAAAAAGGGACATGGATAAACAACATGCAGTCTTCATTTAAATTATACATTTTTTAATATGTTCGTA